GAGTGTGAAAGCTCATTCTTGGCAATATGAGTAGTTTGACAAAAAATCAAGTAAACAATAAAGTAAACTTTGAAGAATTCACTTTAAATGGGCTTTTGCTCTGTCTGATTAAACCTAAGTTAACTTGGCAAACTCCATCTGCTGATCAAGGTGTTGTTGAAAATCCTGAACCTTAATTATTTTTTGTCTATTACTAAATTCATTCTGTACATTTCATCAACTTTGTTTTTCTTTGTTAGAAACAAAATGGCACAGTCAAAATATCTTGCTCACATTTCCTCAGTCTGGTTCACATGCAGTAACACATATATTATAATATTTAATTTGAACAGTGTTTTGCTGCTCTCCCTGCCAAAGCAAAATGTCTCCAAATAAAAAGATTTTTGCTGAGCAACAATTATCTAAGTGAGACTTTATGGGGGGATTGACAGGAAGCAGAGCTTAATGTACAGTAATGCAGCATGTAATTTCATCAAACCTTACAAATGTTAAGATAAGTACGATTAACACCTGCTGTTTGTTTTGCAGGTTCAACAAAGAGAAACTTCACTCCTTGGTGACAGAGAGGTGTTATCCTGTAAGTGCTTCTTCTGAATGTTGCTGAAGTTGTTTACTAATTTAATTTCATCAAATCCTAATTTTACTGTTTTTCCTCCTCTGTGCTGCGTTCAGGAGATGACTAGGGGGAACCGTTACAAGACGATCCGCTGGAGGTTTGTGGAGTCCCTGGAGCCGCCCAAAGTGGTCCACGCCCGCTGCCCCGACATGGTCAGCAAAGGCAACCTGTACGGCCAGGTGACGGTCCGCATGCACTCCAAACAGGTACGACTCCTATGTTAATAGACTGTTGTCATCTCAACTCATATTCAGTCATGATATAGTGATACAGTATTTGTGTGCAGAGCTTTGTGCGCTAGTTTACCTTTATTTTCCATTTTTTAATTAGTACAGCTAGTCTGTTTCAGTATTTCTTAACCATGTGCTGCCAAAGCTTAAGTTTTGAGCATAAGTACTGTAATGTATCTACGCTGCACACAGTTAATTGCAGGGGTGAAACAAAGCAAATTCAAGAGCAGATTTTGTGTTTGCACCCGGGCTTAAAGCCAAGATTACAATCAGGATTGAGATGACTCGATGAATCCTCTTTCACGTCTGCTTGTCCTGCAGACTCTGGCCATCTACGACCGCTTCGGGAGGCTGATGCTGGGCAGCGAGGAGCAGCCGAAGGACGTCTTAGAGTACCTGGTTATAGAACGACACCTCGTCAATCCCTACGGCCGATGGAGGTTACATGGAAAAATAGTGCCGTCCTGGGCTCCTGCCAAAGACCCCATTATTAAGGTGACCCTCTACTCTGCAACAGCTGAAAATATCTTTCATATATCTTTTAGTAAGAATAAGGCAGAGGTCCAAGACACACTTCCCTTAAAAAGCAGATTAAAAAACCTTTTATAAACTTGCCAGTTCATACATTATATTATATTATTACAAAATTATAAACGCAACACTTTTGTTTTTGCCCCCATTCATCATGAGCAGAACTCAAAGATCTAAGACTTTCTTTATGTACACAAAAGGCCTGTTTCTCTCAAATATTGTTCACAAATCTGTCAAAAATCTGTGTTAGTGAGCACTTCTCCTTTGCTGAGATAATCCATCCACCTCACAGGTGTGGCATATCAAGATGCTGATCAGACAGCATGGCTATTGCACAGGTGATCCTTAGGCTGGCCACAATAAAAAGCCAACAGCAACCAATGGACTGTGATCAGTATTTTATATACTTTTATGGATGTATTCAGAACAGCTACTGAGTCAACATATCCATCTCTATGACAACTGAGCAAACTCCATCTGCTCAAAGTTGGAAGCTCCAAGAAAAAATGCTTGTTTTGGGATCTGTTTTGGAAATCTCTCTGCTAAAGAGCTGAAATTCAACTGACACATTTGATGCAACGTGAACTGGCCAGTTACTAAAGGCTGCTGTTTAGTTATTTTTTGACAAGAACGTTTTAATAGACCTAAATCACATTAGGAGAGAAGTCGGAGGAGCATGCAGAGCTGTTGACAAATAGCTTTTATTTGATTTGCCCAGTTCGGGAGACATTTATCTCTGATATTTCTGCCTTCATCCTAATAAAATAAATTTGTGGTGCTATCATTATTGAATCGATTACATTTAAAAGCCGACAGCAACATGAAACAAGAAACAATGTCCCAGTTACTCTGGATAATCCACACAACACACTGTCAACAGTTTTCATATGGACTCTTTGTATGATAGAAAGTAATACCAGTGAACGTTGAGACAGAAATCTCAGACCCAGATATTTCAAAACCTAGACAAATAAAGGCAAAACTATCTGCATATCTAAATGCCACTAGAGGTAAATGAGAAAATATATTTTTTGTAATTTAGGTGGCTCCTTAAGCATAAAGAGCTAATGTTCCTCAGTCTACAGGTTTGAGCATTTGAATAATATCAGTGTGTTCCCGATCGCTAAGCTCTAGACTGAGCGAGAGGACTCCTGTCGACCTGATTATGTTGTTCACAGTGTGAAAGCAGGAATAAACCACATTTCTTCTCTGCAACAGTTTTATTACCTAGCATATCTCCATTACATATACATATTTTGGACATGCAGCAGGAGGAATAGGATGTTGTGGTTAAGTCTTATGCACATGAACTACCATTTAAAATTTATATGATTTCATGACCTGTTGCCTATAATTTATTCTCATATGGTACAAGTTTCCTCAAGAATAAACATGTGAGCATCAGCAAAGGATACACAAAGCCTTGTTAAAATCTGATTACCTGAGAGGTCATGTTGAGTGTCTGCGCCACTTTTCACAATGTAGGACTGGAATAGAACCAGACTTGCATTATACGCATCACTGCAAAACATGGAATATAATCACCTTAAATCTGTGAGTCAGCCCCTGCTGTGTCTCAGATATAGCAGACAGATGGAGCGGTAATGTTGCCTGGAAGGTGTTTCTTACCCTGCTCTGATAGATCGTAAAAAAAAAAGCTTCACCATCAGTGTGCTGCAAAAATGTTAAAGGATAATTTTGGTGCTTTTTAAACCTGGGCCCTACCTGGGTTGAATTGATTAGTAGGTATAAAATGTTATGAAATCTGTGAAGTAGTTGGCTTCAGCTGGCAGCCGCAAACTGACTGCAGCGTATTCCTTCAGGGCAATTGGGGCCCATCAAACTTACGTCCACAAAAACTGCTTCTTTTTGCCACGACAGGTCATACTGTTATTAGATTACATTACATAAACTTTATTGTCACCAAGGAGAAACTTTTCTTTGGCCCAAAGTGCACTTGCAGCTTCGCAGACAAAACATACATACACAAACAAAAACCACACATCCGCCCAGATAGTAGGTTCTGAAGCACCGGCAAAGCAAATTCAGCCGAAAATACAAGAGATAAAAAGGATAACAGTCGACCAAACATGTATAAAAATCCAAGGTTACAATAAGTAAGGCAATATGTAAATGCACCTTTCCATAATTAATATTATACCAGGTGTCTGACACTATCATGGAAAGGATCCCTAAGAGTGACTCCCTTTGTTTTTAACAGGAAACTGAAGTCTCGCTCAAGGACAATTGAAAGGCAAACATAAGCACTTTTGTGGATGTAATTTTGACGGGCACAATTCCCCCAAAGTCTGCCGTCTGAAGCCATCTACTGAACAAATTCCAAAACTTTTTGTACCTACCAGTCATTTTAACACCAAAATATGGGAAAATAGGGTCCAGGTTCAAAAATACCCAAAGAATCCTTTAAAGTGATGACACAGGAGATCCCTTCTTTATTCTCATAGTTCGTTAATGTGACAATAAGGAGCTTATTAATGTGATCACAAAGCAGAACGTTTCATCCCTCAATAAGAAAACAGGAGGAATTAGATTTATGTAATTTATCGCAACAGAATGAGTCTTAAACGGTGTGCCTCCAAAAATATTTAAACGTATGTTTTATTGTATATTGGTTGTCTTTACCAAAAGTGATTCATTTCATGATTTCTTTCTAGACATTCCTTTTTTTAAAACACCTTGAAGCTCTTACATGATATACAGTATATCTTAAACTCAGTTTCAGCAAACCTCTGAGGTTTGACTATTTCTTTGTGGGTATTTTAGACTCTGCCACCTGTCAATCAGAATCTGTCAGGTCAGCTGACAAATGAAAGCAGGACTCCAGCTGTAGTCCATGAAATCAAAGAGAAACAAAATCCAGATTTGACACAATTGCAGCTCTAGGGTTTAGGGGACAGTAAGTGGTGAACCTCCAAGTATTTACTTGTAAAAAACTAAGGTAAATAGCAAATACCTCCTAATTCTAAGAAATTCTGGGAAACCATTTATTGTGATATAATACAATACTTTTTGGATATCACAAACTTGTTTTCTCATCTTGGTCCTGAAGGTTAATTCCCCTTGAAACACAAGTATGGATTAGATGGCACTTAAATATATTTTATTAACATTTGACTCTGCTAACAAGTGATACTCATCTGCTCTTCTTACATTTTTTCAGACTGTGATGATTCCTGGTCCAGAGCTGAAGCCAGGACAAGAGTTTGAGGCCCTCAACTATGAAGTTCCCAAACCAGAGGCAGTTCAGTGGAACAAATAGGCCACCAGGTGGCACTGCTCTTTTCATCAAACCACAGGAGGATATTATCTGCAGGCATGGGCCAAATGCTGTTTAAAATTTGGCCATGGTTGGTTAGTTTGTCCACTTTGGCAGGAAACCAGGCTTCCTTTGGAGGCTCTTATCTGTTTGAAAAACTCTGTTGGCTGTTGAAATGATGGAAACAGCAGGTGAGATTTAGGATGAACAAACCACTGTGTCCTGCAGCCAATAAAGCTGCTTCTGTCTTTGCGATGAATTACCACAGAATAGTCACAACATTTTCAAGTTTTCTTTTTTTTAAATAAAATTAACATGTACATGTATAAAATAAAATGTTCAGATCTCCAGAAATGATATGGTTTATTTCTCTGATGATTGTGCTGCATGTTGACCTCAGGAAATACAAAAATAAAGTGCCCCATCTGCTTCTCTTCACACCAGTAGATTCTCTTTATCAGAATAATCTTTTATAGATGATGTTGCATACAAAATGGAAAACCGAGCATAGGCTGTTTCTTTATGCAAGTTACAACAATATTAGATTTTTTTTTTTTACGGAACAACAATTTACAGCATACTCATTCAAAAACACACTTACATGCAACAATGCTCACAGAACTAGGTCACTCCATTGACAAAAAACTTGGTGCAGTGTGTAACAATGAGATCACTGAATGAAAAACCTAGTCACTGTAGCAGAAGTGCTGAAAAACACCTGATTTCACAGACAAATTGCTGGCATAGACACAATACTCAATTACATCAATACAGAAAACTGTTAATATTAAGTTTTATTTTTCATAAAACCTTTTTCAACATAATACTGGGTTTTAAAAAGTTGCAGTTGTCTGTATCTGAAACATAATGATTCTGAAAGTAGGACTCATTAATGTCAGACATGAAAGGTAGGGCCACTCTTATAAAAATATCTAATAGTCACAAGACATCTTTGATTAATCCATAAATTGATTTAATTGAAATAAAATCTGTAATTTCTCCAGTATTATCGGTCGTCTGCATATTAATGGAGTCATGCATAAGAATCTCTTATCTAGTTCCTTTCAAAGACTTCAAGGAATATTTATGAATATTAAAGTGTCGCCAAAGATTTGACTTTTTAAAATGATTATCATTATCTGCATAAAGTACCCTGACAAAAATGTTTGTAGTTATTCAACAGATAGGGGCAGCCCTATTCTTCATTGAAACTGAGGCCTTACCTCCATAACTCACATTATTTACAGCATTTAGATGGAGAAAATTTGGAAGCAGGTCAGGTTAGCTGCAACATAAACTGCAAAAAAATTACAAAGAACATCAAATTGTATAGGACATACAATTTGATGTTCTTTGCAATTGCCAAACATTTTTTAAAAACTTATTTTTCACAGTGTGTTTTTAATATTAAATCACATTGTCCCATCTCAATGAAACTGGTGTACAGTGAGCTGCATCCACATAAAAGGCATTGACATGACTTTCTAAATGCACAGATATAAAATGTTTAGGCTGCTTTTCACTGCAGTTTATTTAAATTTATGTTTTTTTTTATTACTGAATCAAAAGTAAGGGAGTAATATCAATTATTGGCCTTTAGTCATGAAATCAGTCTTAAGCAAACAGGTTTGCATAGTTGTATTAATCATTAATACCTGGTAGAAATGTAAATTGTCATCAACTGTAGTTCTGGTGGCGCTACTTTACATGTAACACTTTCCTGTACTTTGAAAATATGTCCACTATTAGGCTGAATTTATCTGGTGTATGCTGGTTAGGCTTCCATCTTTAATTAAGTTCCATATTTTAGGCCCTGTGCTATTTGTGATTGTGAGCACGGTAGACTTGTTAAGTTCAGCTTTTGTAACATATGTACCCCAGCCATGGGTCCAGCATATTGTACGTACATGGCAAATATGTGAATTGTCACCTAAAAACATACAAAGACACACAAAAACATTTTAATTTAAAATGGGGGGGTAGAAGCAGGAAGAAAAGGGACTTCATCTAAATGCCTTAGATGCCCTTCCATCAGCCAAGAAATCAGTTTGTAGTTTACTGCTGGATTGATTAGGGACATACTGAGTGTGCAATATGTGCTCCAGTTAAAAGAAAACATTTTCAATCAGGTTTGCACAACTTATTGTGTCCAGCTCATCAAGTCTCAACTACAGGCTTAGTCAGATAGTGGCATAGCCTAAATGGATAGTCCAACCTGAAATAACACAGCCCTAAGTTTTGTCTTTGAGTAGCCCAGGTAATTGTCCAGCAGAAAAGGGTTCTCAGCTCTGCACGCTGCAGAAGCTGTTAGTGAGCTGACCCTGTTCTCTGACCTCCCCGTGGAGCTGGAGAAGTTCAGCGTTCCCCTTCCACAGGGTGCCACCAAAATGGTTGTTCACATTGCCCTTGCTTTAGCACGAGGGGTCAAAAGTGGAAGCAAATGCGGGCTAGATTTAGGTCACAAGTCAGGTGGGAATACAAGAGCCTCAGCAGCACATTCTGCATCGTCCTCTTCATCTTCCTCAGGAATATTCTCAGGCTCCCATGTAAAAATGTCAGAGGCATTGTCTGTGAATGAGCCAGATCTGCTCCTTACCATCTCCCAGGGACACAAAGCATCACGGCGGCCCAGGGCTAGGTTTTCTTTGGACTCCATCTGCTCTGTGCAGATATCTGCTGGAGTATCTTCTACATTAAGTGGCTCCTGGTTCTCTATGACTTCATCTTTGTCAGTGTTGGGAATATCAGCTTGACTTTGGGTTGAAGTTTGTGGATCCTTAGAGTCCCAGGGACAAATGTCTGCTCCAGTGCTGTCTTGCTTTTTGACAACTCCTGGTTCTTCTGTCTCCCAAGGACAAACATCTGCCAGAGTGCTATCTTGCTTTTTGAGAACTTTGGGCTCTTCTGTCTCCCATGGACAAACATCTGCCAGAGCACTATCTTGCTTTTTCAGAACCTTTGGTGCTTCTGTCTCCCATGGACAAACATCTGCACGAGCTGTGTCTTGCCTTATATGACTCTCTGATGTTTTGGGGATCTCTGATTTTCCTGATTCTGGTTCACTACTATCCCATGGACAAACATCTGCCAGTCTTTCCAGTCCTTGTGAACCCATCTTGCTAGCTGCGGATTTTTCAGGGGGCTCAGTTTCCCAGGGACATATGTTTACTCTTGTGCCGTCTTTTCCTTCAGTCTGTATAGAAGCAGCTTTCAAAGGCAAGACACCTTGTAGTGAGTCTTCTGGTTTGTCTTGATGTCCAGTCTCCCACGGACAAATATCTACCTTGATGATCATTTGTGAGATTGTGTTTGTATTTGTTGGCTCTGTGTTGCTCTCTTCCCATGGACAAATGTTTTCCATCGTTTTAGGGGGATCAGGGAAATCCCATGGACAACTTTCTGTTGTCTTGGTCACTTGTCTGCCCAAATGCAGGGCAGGTGATTTTGCGTTGTATTTTTGCTCATTACTTAAACTCTGCTCTTTTGATGCCGCCGTGTAGACTGCAGGTTTCATAACTTCTTGTCGAAAGGGCACTGTCAGCGTTCCCTTGGTCTCCAAAGGACTTAGATTTTCATATACAACGTCAGGCTTGTCCTGAACATCCCAAGGACAAACATTAGAATATTCATTTTCTTGCCTTATTGAAGGTTGGGGAGTTTCTGCAGTCTGCCAGGGACATATGTCTGCTGCACGTTTTAAAGACTGTTGTGTCTGTGAATCTATGGATGGTTTACTATGATAAATAATGGGAACATCCTGCGATTCCCAAGGACACACATTACTATGAGCACTTCCTCGTCTTTTCGCTTTATCTTGCTCTTGAGATTCCCACGGACATACATTACTATGGGTACTTCCTCGTCTTCTCACATCCCCTGGCTCTTGCGATTCCCATGGACATACATTAGATGGTTCAGATACCTGCGATTCCCAAGGGCAGACGTCTGCTTTAATGCTCTGCTGCTTCTTTGATCCCTCTTCTTCCTGGAAAGTACCAGAAGTACCAGTTCCATCCCATGGACACACATCTGCATAGGAAACATTACGGGTTGGTGTTCTTCGATAACTACCTCTTCTGCGGGTCGAAGGAGTTCTACAGCTGCTGGCAGTTTCCCAAGAACTTATACTACTACGTTTGCTATTCTGCCTTGATAAGAACACATTTTCATAGGTGCCATCTTTTTGCATATCCTCCATGTCCCAAGGGTAGACTGCAGATTTGACAATAACAAGCCTTCTTGGGCTTCTGTCTGTAGAATCCCCAGAGGACAGTCTGATGGCATTCTGCTTCACAAGGCATGGTTTTCCATCCGTTGTCATACTTCTTTTCTGCAGTGACCTCTTTTCTATGCTTGGACGTCTGCTAGATGTCCCTGATCTTGGTGTTGTGGAAGCACTTTCCTGACTTTTTTGTGAGACAGAATCCTCTTTATGTAAACTTCCCTCCTTGCTTCCTGCATCCATGGATCCCATAATGGATTTCACAGAGAGCCACTTAGTGGTAGTGGTGCGGAAGGAAAAGATGCGTTGATCTTTTGTGACCTTTGGTCTTGGAGTGCCTGGTGCACTTGCAGACACAGTGAGCTGTGGTTTGGGGGACTCAGTTTCACCTTTTGTTGCCTTGTCCTCTGAAGGATTCTTGTCTACAGGTGGTAAATGGTCCCAGGGACAGATAAGTGCCTCGGGAGATATTGCCCTTTTTTGCTCACAATTCTCAGAATTTGCGTAGGTGACATGCTTCTGGTTCTTGTCCCCTGATTGTTCTTGCTCCACATCCCAAGGACAGACCTCAGCCTTGTCAAATGACTCTGACTTGAGAGCACTCCTGGTCTGATCACTAATGGATATGCTCTGCCTGGACCTTGTCAGCACTGTGCTGGCTCTGTTAACCTTAGCTATGTTCTCCATAGAATGGGCGGTAGTTGAGGTTAGACTCCAGGACTTATGGAGCTTGGTATGATCAGGATGCAGGAGATTGGTATCGATTGTCAGATTTTGGGCACTGGCTGACTTACAAACCCCTGGTGGAATATCCAAAGAATCAGTCTCAGATCGCCGGGATGATCTCTTCACAGCGTTGGCCTTTAACATGGAGTCACGTAAAGAAGAGTCTCTTTCCCTGACATAGTGATGATCGCTTTGAGACTTGCGCATGGATGGAGATGGTGTTCTCACTGAACTCCTGTAACTGATACTGACAGATACTGTATCTGGGGCCCTCCTGAAAGACTCAGACAGATTCACGCTTCTACTGTGGAAGGATCCATCTTTCTCCTCGCGGCTGCACTGCCGGCTCATGGTTTCTGGGATCTCAGCAATGCGTCTAATAATGGATCTCCCCAGTGCACATCGAGAACTTCGTTTCTTTGACAGATGAGGGTTGTTTGCAGTCATCTTCTTGGTCTTGTGGACTTCTAACTGGGCATATAACTTCTTCAGTTCATCCTGGTGCATATGAAGAAGGGTGGGAATTGATGAAGGGATTAAGGAAATGGTTGAAATGATTGTGGAGAGGAGAAGATATGGAGAGTAACAAGTCAGAGGAAAGGTAAGAAGAACACAGTTTAGGATAAGAGAAGGATAAAGGGGGGAGAAATTGTTGATTGTATTTACTGTTGATTTATGATTTGAATTATAATACATTTAAGATCTGTTTAATTGAGTCTACATGTGGTCATAACTGACATTAAGGGACATTTATTTTTCTTTAAATGTGAGCTTTGGAATTTCTTCTACCCTTTGTAAATGATGTCCCAATGCAAAGTGATAACATCGTTCTGAGGGGACAATAGAGTTTACCCGAAAGTCATCCGGGTCCACACTGTGCTCACTCCAAGCAGAGTGAAAACTGCTGTTGAGGTATGAGCCGGAGCGCCGAAGGTCCACTTCATCTTCATACACCTCTGCTGCAATCTCCTCTCTCACAGGCTTGGACACATAAAGGAACTGTGGAACAGACACACAGGCATACAATTAATATGTAATCTTTTGCACGTTAAAACAACAGTGTAGTCATGCACATTCATTAATGTGTGTAGGGCTGGTGATCCACTGTCCACAGTAAAATCTTGGATGGATTGTCACAAAGACTTTCATGGTATGCATTTTAACACTAATACTAAACATTATATGCTAAACTGTAGCATTACTCACTAAGTTAAATGCTAACTGAAGGGAATGCGGTCACTATGATAATGGAGCATTTAGCTAGCTAGCATTACAGAGTCTTGGAACATCATTTTTTATCCACTCAGCAATTTTGCTTTCTGTTGTGTGTGTTCTGTTGTGCCTTTGACGCAGTACTTCTTGAAATCCTGAATGACTTAAAATACGCAATGACACTTGTATTCACTAAATCATTGGTTGGACAAGCAGGCTACAATAATGAGAGTGGATTAGTTTGACCTTTCATGCACTTTCCTTCCACTTTGCCAAAAGCACTTGAACGTGTCCCATTACTCCAATATATATCACTATATTAAATGTACATTTCAGTCTAGATACATCATCTGAACGATTACAAGGTGCAAAGCAGTGGGAGCTGTCACTTCTGGTGAGTTTACATGTACATTAAAGTTATTAAAATAAATCAAGATGAAGTGTCAAGAGCAAGGATGTATCATCAAGATTACTTTTTCTACTCTGACCCCTTATTCTACACACAAATGCTGAGTACCTTGGGTATAAAGAGCAGGGCGAGTGTCACAGTGATGGTCACATGAGTGTGTGTGAAGGAGAGCAGCAACATCCAATCAGGATGGAGAGAGGGAAAAGTGAACCTGAGGGAGACAGAAAATACAAAATCATGTTACACTGTGTTTTTTGTATACAAATACACTGCTGTGTGTATTGTTCAGATTAGCTGTGCTGCATCTGAGGTACAGAGAAATGCTTGTTGTTTACCGGAACAGGTGAAACATGGTGGAGAGAAGCAGCTCGTTGTGGATGGCAATGCCCATGTAGCGAGGTTCATGGAAGGCTGAGGGGACCGGCCTGACGGCGGTCCACAGGGAGCTGCCCCAGCACAGGAACAGGAGCTCAGCTGAAGAAAGTAAGGACAGAGGAAATGCTGACCGCTTGAAAGTTCAGATATGAATAGTGAAGGAATCTAATACTGATGAAATGCTAAATAATGTGTGAAAACTGCCATCCAATATAGTCAATAAGCAAGTTTGGCCTTATTTTTGTAGTTTTATGGTTCAACTTTGACCTACCATATTACTGTAGTTGTGTAGGTTTGCTGTACAATGACGCATTATTACTGACATTTCAGGTTTTATCTAAAAGAAAATAAAATGTGTCTCTATAATCCACAGTTAGCTAACCGGTCTGATAATCTGGTCTTTCATAGATTTCTAATAGGATTTTGTTGTAGTAAAGTCTTTGGTTTTAGCGTAATAATTACTTGACTATTGTTTAAGGTTAAAATATGAGCAAATTGAATTTATTGTTTATTTAAAAAATGTATTATCCATTCTAACTTATCAGTATATTACATAAACATACCAATAATACTTACAAAAAAAACAATTTAATAATAACTGCTTGTTGGAGTGAAAGGATCTATCAGCTCAGAATGCCTCACACGCTGTTTGTCTACTGACACTCACCCACAGCCATCATGTAGTCCCAGCGGTCCAGGTAACACAGGTTGAACCCCTGCCCGTCTGATGTGGTCATTGTGATGAACACTGGGATGTTCCTGTCGCGGTTTTGGAGGACACCCACAGTCCACGCACACAGGAACCAGCTGACTGTCATCAGCATCACTCCCAGAATCCTCAGCAGGTGGAGGCTGGACATGTAGGGCACTCTCTGGGCCGTGCGTGAGAGGAACACCTTCAGCACCCTGTGCAGAGGCAAGGATCAATCAGTATTTGACCGCTGAAGACAAAATGTTGTTGTTGGAACTAACTTTTTAGGTTTAAGGACTTTAAAGTAGACTATATAACTTTTGCTAAACAAAATAATTGGATAATAGTAAATTTAATTTTCCTTTCCCACAGTTAGGAAACAGGAACCATGTTTCTGGTAAGGTATATTTACATATTTTGCTTATTTTACGATTATGTTAATTATGTTTATTGGAGACGTTGTGTACCTGTAGCACAAGTAGAAGAGAGTCATAGAGTCTGTGAACAGACTCAGTATTGTCAGTTACAGGCAATATCTATGTGAAGTTAGCTGACATTAGAGAACATTAAGAGACTGGTCACACCAGAGCAAGTAAGACTGCAGCAGGTTGAATTGAGCAAGGGTGCCTTTTTATTTATTGTTTTTAAGATATTTTTGGGGCATTTAGTCTTTATTTAGATAGGATTGAGAAGTAGGAAATGAAGGAGTGAGAGAGGTGACGATATGCAGCAAAGGGCAGGCTGGAATTGAGCCCCGGCTGCAGCTATAAGGACTCAGCCTTGTACATGGGGCACACTGTCATCTGAGCTCCCTGCAACCTGCCTTTTTTATGTCTTATGAATTCAACTTTTCATTTCTATGAGGAAGATCAAAAACAAGTAGTTTAACTTAGAAACTGTGAAGTTTCATTATATTTCAGTCAGTTGTGATTGTCCAAGATTCAGCTGGTGCATTTCAATATGTTTAGATTAGATAAAATACAATAACACTAAATAAAGTGCAAATAGAATAGAACAGAAATATAGTGACAGAGCACTAATAGGTAATCATAGGCTCAGGGGAACAGGTGCATTATAGATCATCAGGAAGTTGCTTCCATCTGTGCAGGTGCAGCATCGCAGCTTCACTTTGTTTGGGTCTGACTCGAGGTTCTACCTGCTGACTGCTTCCTAAAGATCAAATCTGGGTTTATATTCTTCAACGAGATCAGATTTATAAACTAGAAGTATCACTTCAAAATTATTATTATAATAATTTAATTAATAATTATATATACTATTCTAAGTACAGACTGTGATGAGATCTCTATGTTTTTAATCAACTAAACGTTGGTGGCCTTATTGTTGTGTTGACCTGTTGTGGGATGTTACTGTAAAATAAAATAAAATGCCAACCTACCTGTACATTTTCAGTGTGACTGTGCCGTAGACGATGGAGAAGCCGAGCATTCGAACCCAGCGCAGCAGAATACACCTGAACGTACTCGGCTTGAAGTACATGATGAAGACCTGCAGAGTCAGACATTTACTGTGAGTCAAACAACAGCATCAATGTGGACGACTGATTTAATTGGTGTGTATCTCCACTGATTATATGTATGAAATATGTTATTACTACTACTAGTTCTACTACTATCACTGCTCCTTAAAAGTACTACTATTGGTATGAGTACTGCTAGACAAAAGTACATTAGTACTACTGCTTTCGGAGTGTAATGTATATAACTACATGAACTCAAGTACTGTACTTAAATACAATTTGGAGTTACTTTATTTCAGTATGTCCATTTTATGCTCATCTATACTTCTACGATTTTGGAAGCCAATATTGTAATTTTTATTCCACTACATTTATATGACGACATTAGTTGCTAGTTACATTGAAGATTCACATAATTAATACAAAACATAAATCAACTAATAAATTAGTGATGCTTAAATATTAATGCATCACTAATTATAATGCAGTGTTATTGTATGTATTATTCTGAAATGGACCATCCTGCAAAATGAGAACTTTTACCTTTGGCACTTAAAGTGTATTTTGATGGAATACTTACAGTATCTCACAAAAGTGAGTACACTCCTCGCATTTTAGTAAATATTTGATTATATCAAATATATTATATAACACTGAAGAAATGACACTTTGGTACAATGTAAAGTAGTGAGTGTACAGCTTGTATAACAGTGTAAATTTGCTGTCCCCTCAAAATAACACATCACACAGACATTAATGTCTAAACCGCTGGCAACAAAAGTGAGTTCACCCCTAAGTGAAGATGTCCAAAACATTAATAGAACCATAAAAAGTACTACTGCTGTTGACATTTTACCACCATTTGACTAAGTCTGACAGTATATGAACAATATATCCAACAGATGCTTAATAATACGTCTCATCAGCATTAAACTGGCAGTTTAAAAAACATGATGTCTGAACTGAATGTGTCTTATACTTGTGTAGACAGGTTGTACTGTCGTCTCTTTTCAGTAGAGTGGATGTCTGTAATCCAGGAATTAAAGGCCATTGTACTGTGCCAGTCAGTCTCATCATCATCAAGTCCGAACAACATAAGGGATAAACGACTCAGAGTGAATACTTATAGAACCAGAAACAATGTGCAGTAAACATCCAGAGGAAGGCAGTTTTAATCAGCAGAAATGGCCCATACTCATAGGCAGATTGGGGTCTCAGTTATAGAAGAAGTAATCTGATTGGTCAATCTTAAACTACGTTGTGTGGGTGGAGCCAAAAAACACCAGAAACCTTTATGAAATTGAAAGGCCTGGTGCTGTTTTACCATATGAAATTTACCTGGTCTCTTAGCTCAGTTAGTTGGCTTAACTGATGTTCTAATATAATGAATACCATAAGATGATTGATTAAAAAACCTATGACCATGTCAACTGGTTAGCTTCTCCTGACTTTTTCTTTAGCAGGTCAGAGCTGTCACTTATTACATTTATTCATTTAAGCTGACGCTTTTATCCAAAGTGACTTACAATTGCTATACATGTCAGAGGTCGCACGCCTTTGGAGCAACTAGGGGGTAAGTGTCTTGCTCAGGGACACAATGGTGGATGGGTCACAGTGGGAATTGAACCCAGGTCTCCCACACCAAGGCATCTATGCGCCATCACCACCCTTATCCTGGAGACTGGCACAAAATTCTGACCAGACATTCAGGTCCCTCAGAGGATTAACCTTAATGACTTTGGTGAGCCCCTGACTTTTCCTCTAGCGCCACCATCAGGTTAAAATTAAAATGTGTCCTATACTTTGAGTTAGGACTAAACACCTGCAAAACTAATGACATTCCCATCAGCTTCAGCTGTACTTTGCTCTTAGAGCTAATTAGCTAATGTTAGCATGCTAACACTAACCTAAGATGGTGAACATGGTTAACATTATACCTGCTTTACGGAAGCCCTAAGCAACCATTGATTCAAATATTTTTTCTACTCCATTTTGATAATTTGCTTGTGATCTCAAGATAACAAAACACTATTTAAACACAGGTCGGCAGGAACGTTTCTTAATGGTAATTTCTGTATGGATTTTAGTGTCACTGACTTTGTTGGGCAAGCTACTTGAAAAATGTAGTGAGCTAAGCTACTAGCTACTCGACATTAAATGAAGCTTCACTACACAGAAGCTACCCCCCAGTGAAATGTAGCAAGCTAAGCTACAGCAATGTGGCAAAAGTAGCTTATTTACATCTAAGCTACTTTTAATGAGCTACACAGTGACACTGACAGTTTTCTGAAATTATCTTAAAGACACGCACCTGCTGACCCCTGTATTCAGCTATAGTTTATTATCTCAAGATCACGAGAAAGTGATCTTGTTATAACGGGAAAATGGAGTAAAAAGTATTTGAATGGATGGCCTCTTGGTGCTTCTGTACTGCTTAGCATCAGCGTGTTAGCATTTTTATTTTAAGCATTTTAGTATGCTGATGTTAGCATTTAAAGCATTGCTAAGAACAGAGCTGTTTGCATGGTTGTAGACAAAAACATTAAATGCTCACTTCCTTTAACCTCAAAAGTAGCTCTAAAAAGTTTGAATCCTCCACAGGTTGCAAACCTGATCTCCATTATTGATCCACATGTTCAGTATGTTCCAAACTATTGTAGCTTCACCAGTTACCTCGCTAAATGCACTGTTTCCAGCGAAGCTTCAGAGAAAGGGGGAGATGATGAACGCCACACACACAAATTGCCTCTTAAGTTATGTTGTGGAAACACTATGAGTTTGGAACATACTGAACAAATGAATCAAAAGGGACAGGTTGAGTTCTAACTAATGTTTTTTTTGTTATAACTCTGGGTCAGTGGGGGAAAGAACAAGCTACAAACCTTTAAAGCCTTCAAGTCAAAAGACAGATTTAGCTTACTATTCCTTTAACACAAATAATCTGCAGCATTGATGGGTTTGATTATCTGGATGGTTTCAACAGTTCACATGTAAAATGTTTTGTGTCGACTGTTCACACATGGCACAAACCTTTTAGACATTTTGTCTACTAATTATATGTATCAGTACTGCGGGGAAACAACGGCAGGTTGGAAAATGAGGACACCACAGACACAGAGTGGTTTAAAGTCGCTGCCAACATAATGGATTTTTAAAATCTATTTTTCAGCTGAATGGCTGTTAATCCTCCTAGCTGAATTGCCAACATTTTACAAATCATAGAAAAACCTTCCAAGGGAAGTTATGATGATTTATATTTAGTAGACAATTTTCCCTTTTTATGTTAAGGGCTTTAACAGAGCCGTCATATGGGTGCTTTATTCACAAATGTGGCTGCTTTTGTTTCCTAAGTAACATGAGAGATATATTCATTGGAGGAGGAAGAACTCCGACCCTTTGCAAAGTATTAATACCAACTTGTAGAAATACTCTGTTCTGCACTGAAGGTGCACTAAAGATGTTATTGGGAAAATGTACTTCAAGTATTAAAAGTGAAAGTGCTTAAAGGTGTAAAATGTCTCCTTTGACTTTTATACTGTTATATAGTCTATCATTTTTGATTAATTTGTTTTTCATTTTCTCCAATAATTGATTGATTGTTTAGTTTGTAAACCTCCAAAGTAACTAATTGTAAAGTAACTAAAGCTGTCAGATAAATGTCGTGAAGTAAAACTTTTAATTAAATGTAGTGGAGTAGAAGTAGAAAGTGACGTGAAAAGAAACAACTCATAGAGACTAAAGTACAAGTACCTCATATTTGTCCACAAGTACCGTAATTGAGTAAATGTATTTAGTTACATTTCCCATCTGCATGTATTATATTTTACTTGGTACTAAGCCGAAAAACGGTAGAGACGATGGTGATCCATGTGCGCACCAAACAAGCCCTCCAGCAGGTGATCTGTTTGTAGATCAAATGGACCCCCCACCACAGTGACCCCTCACTGAGATGAGAGAGCGAACTCTAACCTTTCATCCGGGACTTTCAGAACTGCAGTCAGGTATGTGGGCTGCAATTTACCTTTGAATTTCTCCCGCATCGTCCCAAAACACCAAAAAGATTTTACTCATTTCCCGCACTAGCCTGTCTTACTTCATTGTATATAGTTTTACAGTTTATATATATATATACCATATATAATATTTAATATTTGATTTTTTATACTTTATATTTCTTTCTTTTCAGTTTTTTGTTTTTGCAGTAGTCTTTATTCCATGCTGCATTGTACTACACATAGTGCCGACATACATCGCGAATAAATTCTGAGTCTTTAAAATAAACCATATATTACAAGTGTATAAACTATACAAAACATTTGTTTATCTTTAACTGCTTGCTGGACGGTGTTAGACAGAGGGCCGAGTTTTAACTAAACTTTAAAGAACATTAGCTGTTAGTTGTAAATTCAAGTTCAATTTCAAATATATTTATATAGTACATTTAAAAACAACCTCAGTTGACCAAACTAATTTCCAAATTCAGGATAGATCACAAAGACAAAACTCAACTCTGTTTTAAGGCCAATGAATAGAGGTGGGTCTTTAGCAAGGACTTGAAAATTCACTTCAAACACGGAAATTACAGGAAATTCACATCTAACATATCATAAGGACTAGGGCCAGTATTGATCTGTGACTAAATTGAAACTTCGTAAAAAGCACTTCTTGCATTTTTCATTCAAACTAATAGCATAAATGAATTCACTGAATTTAAAAAGGTGTATTGGAATTGAATGGAAAATTTCTTCCATTTAAGAGTTTTGGCTTAAGTTAAGAAGATTTCCATGGAGCTGAACAACTGGAGGAGCTAATGAGCAGGTAAGTATTAGCAACACAACTCAAAATTACACAATTCAACAGCATTATAAACTGCAAAACCTCCAAAATGACCAACACGTCTCTAAAATAGTTTCGGCTAAAATTATAACCTTCTCGAAGGCACAATTATTGCTTGACGGTTGTATTAGAATGCATTAGTTTTAGCTAAATGTACCCAATAACCTGACAACCAAATGTGTGTGTGTTTCAA